CTCTGATGTCGTAGGAGAAAACATTTATTAAAAAGTCTATTTAATTCAGTAGAACGTGTCGTCTATATTAATTCAAAGTTGCGCATTTGGATGTGACGTCACATTTCTCAACCCCCCCCCCTTGTCACACATAGTCACAAATGTCTGACCCCCCCCCCCAGGTGCGTGACGTCATTTATGGACGGCCCCTTCGTTTACCAAGTAGGTTTTCACTATACCAATCCATCAAGGTTATTTCCTGGGTTATGCGTTCGAACCCAAAATGGCCCCCTTCATTATGGGTTCGTGGGCTGACAAACGACCCTGACAGACTGTAGGGGCAAGCGCTGTTAGCGAGTAGCAGCAAAACCTATAAAGGCTGGAACGGTACACGAGGGGGTGTGCGGCCAACACCACGTCCGACCGCCTTTGTCTCCCCAGTGGCGATGTTCACACATCGCACCAGGTACTTATTTGAGCCGAGTCGACTTAGGGGAGGCCCAGGACCGGTTCAGATAATCGTCACTGGTATTAGCAGTGAGTGGGAATTGAACCCGGGTCGCCGGGTTCGTAGCGCAGCGTAGCGATAACCGCTACACCACGCTCCCCACAACTCTGACACACACTGACACACACAGTGGATTCATAATGGCCGTGTCTCTCAGAGGGTTCACAAAGGCAGTCTCTCTCTCAGTGGATTCATAATGGCCGTGTCTCTCGGGGGATTCACAATGGTTAAGATGGAGACATCCGAGATCCTGGGTTTCCAGCCCTGGGACAATGTGTACAAGCAGCATCTCCTTTGGCCGCGCGTGTGTCTCTTCAAGGAGGGACAAACAGACCGCCCGAGGCAACGCAATCAACGGGACGTAAGAAACAAGACGGCCCGGTCAAGACGGGGAAACGTTTTAAGTTTGCATTCACGCTCTCGGGCATCGCGGCGAAAGGGGTGAGAAGTGGCGATTCACGGACCGCCCTTAAAAGCTGGGGGCTATGATCAAGTGCTTGGAGCCAACGGGGAAAAACAAACAAAAACGGGGGTCCAAATTGTCCAACGGTGGCTTCTCCTAATACAAGTTTTTATTTATTTAGGTGTTAGACCCCTTATCAGTGTCTACACCCAGACCTGTCAACCCCTAATCGTACTAACTCCACTCACTGTTATCAGGCAAGCTACTTCACGTGAAACTCAGTCTGGTGATCGTCTGCACCTTCATTGGTGTCCACGCCTTAGTAATTGAGATGTTAACTACCTCACCTGTTATACAGCCTTGGTAATTCAGATGTTGACTACCTCACCTGTTACACAGGCCTTGGTAATTCAGATGTTGACTACCTCACCTGTTACACAGGCCTTGGTAATTCAGATGTTGACTACCTCACCTGTTATACAGGCCTTGTTAATTCAGATGTTAACTACCTCACCTGTTATACAGGCCTTGGTAATTGAGATGTTAACTACCTCACCTGTTATACAGGCCTTGTTGATTCAGATGTTAACTACCTCACCTGTTATACAGGAGGCCGTGGCTTCGACCCCGACCCTGACGCTGCCTACTGCTGTATAGCTGGAGTTGCCAATGCCGGTTGTAATTACCGGTGAAAGTCTCTCGGTGTCTTGGGGGTTCTCACTTTCTTGGGTTTCTCTCTCAGTTCCTTGTGCTTCTCTCCCGGCTCCCAGGGGGGCTCTGCGTCGCCGCGCCGCTGTGCGCCCCGCATCGCCTCCTTCACCTGCGCCGGCAGCGACTCGAACAGCTCCGCCTCCACCAGCAGCCCCCCGCGCCTCAGCTCCGCGCACTCCCCCAGCTCGGCCGGCAGCTCCGTCAGCCGGTTCCCGGCCAGCTCCAAGCGGCGCAGCCTCGACAGCCTCCCCACCAGGCCGCTCAACTCGCGCAGCTCGTTGTTGGCGAGCCAGCGTCCGCAGCCCCTCGCAGCCGAACAACTCGTCGGGCAGACTCTGCAGGGCGTTGCCCGACAGGCGGAGGGTGCTCAGCCGAGTCAGCTGGCGCACCTCGGGCGGCAGGGTGACGATGGCGTTGCTGCTCAGGTCTAGCACCTGCAGGCCGTGCAGGCGGAACAGCCCGGCGGGCAGCTCGCCCCCGATGAGGTTCCCGTCGAGGAAGAGCGAGCGCAGCGCCGCCGCGGCCGCCAAGCGCGGGACGCTCGCGAGGGCGTTGTCCGAGAGACGCAGGATGGCGAGGCGCTTGCAGGCGGCCGCCGGCAACATCGCCGCGTCGTCGTCGCCGTCTCCCGGCGAGCGGAGGCCGTTGCGGGAGAGGTCGAGTTCGCTGAGGCGTCCCAGCGCCAGCAGGGGCCGCGCGAGCTCGGCGGGCTCCAGGCCGCAGCGCGTCAGCCGCAGCGTCTCCAAGCCGCACAGCTTGCTCAGGGGCGCCAGCGACTCGAGGCGCGCGCCGCCGTTGTCGAGGGCGAACGAGCGCAGGCCGCCGGCGGCGCCGGAGGCCAGGCCGGGCGGGAGGCGGGCGACGCTGGTGGTCAGGCGCAGGCCCTGCAGGCGCCTGAGGTCGCCCAGCGGCTTGAGGAGCGCCGGCGTCAGGGGCCCCTCCAGGGACAGCTCCTCCAGGTGGCGCATTTCACGCAGCCAGCCCGGGACCTCCGCCTTGATTGCAAACTTCACCTGCGAGCGGGCGCTGGACCGGAGGGGGGGGGGGGGCGCACGGTGAATGTCGGTCCCCGACATTGTGACTCATACATTTGGTGGGGGAGGTGAGTTTTTGGCGATGTCACGGCCGGGATCAGTGGAGCCGAATGGACCGCTCAGACCGAGCCACCCACCCACCCTCGCGCCCGCCCGCCCGTCCGTCCACCCACGCACCTCCAGCTGGTGCAGCTCCTCGCTGAGGAAGGCGAGTGCGCGATTGTCGACGCCCACGGTGCAGTTCAGCAGCCGCAGCTTGTGCAGATTCACCATCTGCACCACCGCCGCCCCCAGCGTCACCCCGTGCATCGAGTCCAGCGCACCTTCGGTGGGGGATTGGGTACGAGGGTGAGTGAGTTGGTGGGCGAGTCGGTGTGTGGGTATGAGGGTGAGTGAGTTGGTGGGCGAGTGGGTGTATGGGTCAGTGGGTATGAGGGTGAGTGAGTTGGTGGGCGAGTGGGTGTATGGGTCAGTGGGTATGAGGGTGAGTGAGTTGGTGGGCGAGTGTGTGGGTCAGTGGGTATGAGGGTGAGTGAGTTGGTGGGTGAGTGGGTGTGTGGGTCAGTGGGTATGAGGGTGAGTGGGTGGGTGGGCGAGTGGGTGTGTGGGTCAGTGGGTACGAGGGTGAGTGAGTTGGTGGGCGAGTCGGTGTGTGGGTCAGTGGGTGAGTGAGTTGGTGGGCGAGTGGGTGTGTGGGTCAGTGGGTATGAGGGTGAGTGAGTTGGTGGGCGAGTGGGTGTGTGGGTCAGTGGGTATGAGGGTGAGTGGGTGGGTGGGCGAGTGGGTGTGTGGGTCAGTGGGTACGAGGGTGAGTGAGTTGGTGGGCGAGTCGGTGTGTGGGTCAGTGGGTGAGTGAGTTGGTGGGCGAGTGGGTGTGTGGGTCAGTGGGTATGAGGGTGAGTGAGTTGGTGAGTGAGTGGGTGTGTGGGTCAGTGGGTATGAGGGTGAGTGAGTTGGTGGGCGAGTGGGTGTGTGGGTCAGTGGGTATGAGGGTGAGTGAGTTGGTGGGCGAGTGGGTGTGTGGGTCAGTGGGTACGAGGGTGAGTGGGTGGGTGGGTGAGTGGGTGTGTGGGTCAGTGGGTACGAGGGTGAGTGAGTTGGTGGGCGAGTGGGTGTGTGGGTCAGTGGGTGAGTGAGTTGGTGGGCGAGTGGGTGTGTGGGTCAGTGGGTACGAGGGTGAGTGGGTGGGTGAGTGGGTGTGTGGGTCAGTGCGTGAGTGAGTTGGTGGGCGAGTGGGGTGTGGGTCAGTGGGTATGAGGGTGAGTGAGTTGGTGGGCGAGTGGGTGTGTGGGTCAGTGGGTACGAGGGTGAGTGGGGTGTGGGTCAGTGGGTATGAGGGTGAGTGAGTTGGTGGGTGTGTGGGTCAGTGGGTGAATGAGTTGGTAGGTGAGTGGGTGTGTGGGTCAGTGGGTATGAGGGTGAGTGAGTTGGGGGTGTGTGGTCAGTGGGTGAGTGAGTTGGTGCGTGAGTGGGTTGTGGGTCAGTGGGTATGAGGGTGAGTGAGTGGGGGGTGAGTGGGTGTGTGGGTCAGTGGGTATGAGGGTGAGTGAGTTGGTGGGCGAGTGGGTGTGTGGGTCAGTGGGTACGAGGGTGAGTGAGTTGGTGGGTGTGTGGGTCAGTGGGTGAGTGAGTTGGTAGGTGAGTGGGTGTATGGGTCAGTGGGTATGAGGGGAGTGAGTTGGTGGGTGTGTGGGTGTGGGGTCAGTGGGTGAGTGAGTTGGTGGGCGAGGGGTGTGTGGGTCAGTGGGTATGAGGGTGAGTGAGTTGGTGGGTGAGTGGGTGTGTGGGTCAGTGGGTGAGTGAGTTGGTGGGTGAGTGGGTGTGTGGGTCAGTGGATGAGTGAGTTGGTGGGTGAGTGGGTGTGGGGTCAGTGGGTATGAGGGTGAGTGAGTTGGTGGGTGTGTGGGTCAGTGGGTGAGTGAGTTGGTAGGTGAGTGGGTGTGTGGGTCAGTGGGTATGAGGGTGAGTGAGTTGGTGGGTGAGTGGGTGTGTGGGTCAGTGGGTGAGTGAGTTGGTGGGCGAGTGGGTGTGTGGGTCAGTGGGTATGAGGGTGAGTGAGTTGGTGGGTGAGTGGGTGTGTGGGTCAGTGGGTGAGTGAGTTGGTGGGTGAGTGGGTGTGTGGGTCAGTGGGTGAGTGAGTTGGTGGGTGAGTGGGTGTGTGGGTCAGTGGGTATGAGGGTGAGTGAGTTGGTGGGCGAGTGGGTGTGTGGGTCAGTGGGTGAGTGAGTTAGTGGCTGAGTGGCTGTGTGAGTTGGTGGGTGCATGGGTGTGTGGGTGGGTGAGTTGGTGAGTGAGTGGGTTGGTCAGTGAGTGAGTGTGTGTGTGCGCGAGTGGTTGGGTGGGTGTGCGGGTGAGTTGGTGGGTAAGTGGGTGTCTGGGTGAGTGGGTGGGTGAATTGGTGGGTGAGTGGGTGTGCGGGTGAGTTGGTGGGTAAGTGGGTGTGGGGTCAGTGGGTATGATGAGTGAGTAGGTGGGTGAGTGGCTGTGTGAGTTGGTGGGTGGATGGGTGGGTGAGTGGCTGTGTCCACGGGCACCTGTATCTGAGTGAGCCGGTATGTGTCCACTGGTGGGCGAGTGGGTGTGTGGGTCAGTGGGTGAGTGAGTTGGTGGGCGAGTGGGTGTGTGGGTCAGTGGGTACGAGGGTGAGTGAGTTGGTGGGTGTGTGGGTCAGTGGGTGAGTGAGTTGGTGCGTGAGTGGGTGTGTGGGTCAGTGGGTATGAGGGTGAGTGAGTGGGTGGGTGAGTGGGTGTGTGGGTCAGTGGGTATGAGGGTGAGTGAGTTGGTGGGTGTGTGGGTCAGTGGGTGAGTGAGTTGGTAGGTGAGTGGGTGTATGGGTCAGTGGGTATGAGGGTGAGTGAGTTGGTGGGTGTGTGGGTCAGTGGGTGAGCGAGTTGGTAGGTGAGTGGGTGTGTGGGTCAGTGGGTATGAGGGTGAGTGAGTTGGTGGGTGAGTGGGTGTGTGGGTCAGTGGGTGAGTGAGTTGGTGGGCGAGTGGGTGTGTGGGTCAGTGGGTATGAGGGTGAGTGAGTTGGTGGGTGAGTGGGTGTGTGGGTCAGTGGGTGAGTGAGTTGGTGGGTGAGTGGGTGTGTGGGTCAGTGGGTGAGTGAGTTGGTAGGTGAGTGGGTGTGTGGGTCAGTGGGTATGAGGGTGAGTGAGTTGGTGGGTGAGTGGGTGTGTGGGTCAGTGGGTGAGTGAGTTGGTGGGCGAGTGGGTGTGTGGGTCAGTGGGTATGAGGGTGAGTGAGTTGGTGGGTGAGTGGGTGTGTGGGTCAGTGGGTGAGTGAGTTGGTGGGTGAGTGGGTGTGTGGGTCAGTGGGTGAGTGAGTTGGTGGGTGAGTGGGTGTGTGAGTCAGTGGGTATGAGGGTGAGTGAGTTGGTGGGCGAGTGGGTGTGTGGGTCAGTGGGTGAGTGAGTTAGTGGCTGAGTGGCTGTGTGAGTTGGTGGGTGCATGGGTGTGTGGGTGGGTGGGTTGGTGAGTGAGTGGGTTGGTCAGTGAGTGAGTGTGTGTGTGCGCGAGTGGTTGGGTGGGTGTGCGGGTGAGTTGGTGGGTAAGTGGGTGTCTGGGTGAGTGGGTGGGTGAATTGGTGGGTTAGTGGGTGTGCGGGTGAGTTGGTGGGTAAGTGGGTGTGTGGGTCAGTGGGTATGAGGGTGAGTGAGTAGGTGGGTGAGTGGCTGTGTGAGTTGGTGGGTGGATGGGTGGGTGAGTGGCTGTGTCCACGGGCACCTGTATCTGAGTGAGCCGGTATGTGTCCACTGGTGGGCGAGTGGGTGTGTGGGTCAGTGGGTGAGTGAGTTGGTGGGCGAGTGGGTGTGGGGTCAGTGGGTACGAGGGTGAGTGGGGGTGAGTGGGTGTGTGGGTCAGTGCGTGAGTGAGTTGGGGGCGAGTGGGTGTGTGGGTCAGTGGGTATGAGGGTGAGTGAGTTGGTGGGCGAGTGGGTGTGTGGGTCAGTGGGTACGAGGGTGAGTGGGTGGGTGAGTGGGTGTGTGGGTCAGTGGGTATGAGGGTGAGTGAGTTGGTTGGGTGTGTGGGTCAGTGGGTGAATGAGTTGGTAGGTGAGTGGGTGTGTGGGTCAGTGGGTATGAGGGTGAGTGAGTTGGTGGGTGTGTGGGTCAGTGGGTGAGTGAGTTGGTGCATGAGGGGTGTGGGTCAGTGGGTATGAGGGTGAGTGAGTGGGTGGGTGAGTGGGTGTGTGGGTCAGTGGGTATGAGGGTGAGTGAGTTGGTGGGCGAGTGGGTGTGTGGGTCAGTGGGTATGAGGGTGAGTGAGTTGGTGGGCGAGTGGGTGTGTGGGTCAGTGGGTATGAGGGTGAGTGAGTTGGTGGGTGAGTGGGTGTGTGGGTCAGTGGGTATGAGGGTGAGTGGGTGGGTGGGTGAGTGGGTGTGTGGGTCAGTGGGTACGAGGGTGAGTGAGTTGGTGGGCGAGTGGGTGTGTGGGTCAGTGGGTGAGTGAGTTGGTGGGCGAGTGGGGTGTGGGTCAGTGGGTACGAGGGTGAGTGGGTGGGTGAGTGGGTGTGTGGGTCAGTGCATGAGTGAGTTGGTGGGCGAGTGGGTGTGTGGGTCAGTGGGTATGAGGGTGAGTGAGTTGGTGGGCGAGTGGGTGTGTGGGTCAGTGGGTACGAGGGTGAGTGGGTGGGTGAGTGGGTGTGTGGGTCAGTGGGTATGAGGGTGAGTGAGTTGGTGGGTGTGTGGGTCAGTGGGTGAATGAGTTGGTAGGTGAGTGGGTGTGTGGGTCAGTGGGTATGAGGGTGAGTGAGTTGGTGGGTGTGTGGGTCAGTGGGTGAGTGAGTTGGTGCGTGAGTGGGTGGGTGGGTCAGTGGGTATGAGGGTGAGTGAGTGGGTGGGTGAGTGGGTGTGTGGGTCAGTGGGTATGAGGGTGAGTGAGTTGGTGGGTGAGTGGGTGTGTGGGTCAGTGGGTGAGTGAGTTGGTGGGCGAGTGGGTGTGTGGGTCAGTGGGTATGAGGGTGAGTGAGTTGGTGGTGAGTGGGTGTGTGGGTCAGTGGGTGAGTGGTGGTGGTGAGTGGGTGTGTGGGTCAGTGGATGAGTGAGTTGGTGGGTGAGTGGGTGTGTGGGTCAGTGGGTATGAGGGTGAGTGAGTTGGTGGGTGTGTGGGTCAGTGGGTGAGTGAGTTGGTAGGTGAGTGGGTGTGTGGGTCAGTGGGTATGAGGGTGAGTGAGTTGGTGGGTGAGTGGGTGTGTGGGTCAGTGGGTGAGTGAGTTGGTGGGCGAGTGGGTGTGTGGGTTAGTGGGTATGAGGGTGAGTGAGTTGGTGGGTGAGTGGGTGTGTGGGTCAGTGGGTGAGTGAGTTGGTGGGTGAGTGGGTGTGTGGGTCAGTGGGTGAGTGAGTTGGTGGGTGAGTGGGTGTGTGGGTCAGTGGGTATGAGGGTGAGTGAGTTGGTGGGCGAGTGGGTGTGTGGGTCAGTGGGTGAGTGAGTTAGTGGCTGAGTGGCTGTGTGAGTTGGTGGGTGCATGGGTGTGTGGGTGGGTGGGTTGGTGAGTGAGTGGGTTGGTCAGTGAGTGAGTGTGTGTGTGCGCGAGTGGTTGGGTGGGTGCGGGTGAGTGGTGGGTAATGGGTGTCTGGGGAGTGGGGGTGGGAATTGGTGGGTGAGTGGGGGGTGCGGGTGAGTGTGGGTAAGTGGGTGTGGTGGCAGTGGGTAGAGGTGAGTGAGTAGGTGGGTGAGTGGCTGTGTGAGTTGGTGGGTGGTGGTGGGTGAGTGCTGTGTCCACGGGCACCTGTATCTGAGTGAGCCGGTATGTGTCCACTGGTGGGCGAGTGGGTGTGGGTCAGTGGTTGAGTGAGTTGGTGGGCGAGTGTTGTGTGGGTCAGTGTCGAGGGTGAGTGGGTGGGTGAGTGGGTGTGGGTCAGTGCGTGAGTGAGTTGGTGGGCGAGTGGGTGTGTGGGTCAGTGGTATGAGGGTGAGTGAGTTGGTCGAGTGGTGTGTGGGTCAGTGGGTACGAGGGTGAGTGGGTGGGTGAGTGGGTGTGGGGTCAGTGGGTATGAGGTGAGTGAGTTGGTGGGTGTGTGGGTGTGTGAATGAGTTGGTAGGTGAGTGGGTGTGTGGGTCAGTGGGTATGAGGTGAGTGAGTTGGTGGGTGTGTGGGTCAGTGGTGAGTGAGTTGGTGCGTGAGTGGGTGTGTGGGTCAGTGGGTATGAGGGTGAGTGAGTGGGTGGGTGAGTGGGTGTGTGGGTCAGTGGGTATGAGGGGGATGAGTTGGTGGGCGAGTGGGTGTGTGGGTCAGTGGGTACGAGGGGTGAGTGGGTGTGTGGGGGTCAGTGGGTATGAGGGTGAGTGAGTTGGTGGGTGTGTGGGTCAGTGGTGTGAGTGAGTTGGTAGGTGAGTGGGTGTATGGGTCAGTGGGTATGAGGGTGAGTGAGTTGGTGGGTGTTGTGGGTCAGTGGGTGAGTGAGTTGGTAGGTGAGTGGGTGTGTGGGTCAGTGGATATGAGGGTGAGTGAGTTGGTGGGTGAGTGGGTGTGTGGGTCAGTGGGTGAGTGAGTTGTGGGCGAGTGGGTGTGTGGGTCAGTGGGTATGAGGGTGAGTGAGTTGGTGGGTGAGTGTGTGGGTCAGTGGGTGAGTGAGTTGGTGGGTGAGTGGGTGTGGGTCAGTGGGAGTGAGTTGGTGGGTGAGTGGTGTGTGTGGGTCAGTGGGTATGAGGGTGAGTGAGTTGGTGGTGTGTGGGTCATGGGTGAGTGAGTTGGTAGGTGAGTGTGTGTGGGTCAGTGGGTATGAGGGTGAGTGAGTTGGTGGGGGTGTGGGTGTTGGGTCAGTGGGTGAGTGAGTTGGTGGGCGAGTGGGTGTGTGGGTCAGTGGGTATGAGGGTGAGTGAGTTGGTGGGTGAGTGTGTGTGGGTCAGTGGGTGAGTGTTGGTGGTGAGGGGTGTGTGGGTCAGTGGATGAGTGAGTTGGTGGGTGAGTGGGTGTGTGGGTCAGTGGGTATGAGGGTGAGTGAGTTGGGGGTGTGTGGGTCAGTGGGTGAGTGAGTTGGTAGGTGAGTGGGTGTGTGGGTCAGTGGGTATGAGGTGAGTGAGTTGGTGGGTGAGTGGGTGTGTGGGTCAGTGGGTGAGTGAGTTGGTGGGCGAGTGGGTGTGTGGGTCAGTGGGTATGAGGGTGAGTGAGTTGGTGGGTGAGTGGGTGTGTGGGTCAGTGGGTGAGTGAGTTGGTGGGTGAGTGGGTGTGGGTCAGTGGGTGAGTGAGTTGGTGGGTGAGTGGGTGTGTGAGTCAGTGGGTATGAGGGTGAGTGAGTTGGTGGGCGAGTGGGTGTGGGTCAGTGGGTGAGTGAGTTAGTGGCTGAGTGGCTGTGTGAGTTGGTGGTGCATGGTGTGTGGCTGGGTGGGGTGGTGAGTGAGTGGGTTGGTCAGTGAGTGAGTGTGTGTGTGCGCGAGTGGTTGGGTGGGTGCGGGTGAGTTGGTGGGTAAGTGGGTGTCTGGGTGAGTGGGTGGGTGAATTGGTGGGTGAGTGGGTGTGCGGGTGAGTTGGTGGGTAAGTGGGTGTGGGTCAGTGGGTATGAGGTGAGTGAGTAGGTGGGTGAGTGGCTGTGTGAGTTGGTGGGTGGATGGTGGGTGAGTGGCTGTGTCCACGGGCACCTGTATCTGAGTGCGCCGGTATGTGTCACTGGTGGTGAGTGGGGTGTGTGGGTCAGTGGGTATGGATGGTGAGTGAGTAGGTGGGTGAGTGGCTGTGTGAGTTGGTGGGTGGATGGGTGGGTGAGTGGCTGTGTCCACGGGCACCTGTATCTGAGTGAGCCAGTATGTTTCCACTGGTGGGCTTGAGTGGGTGTGGGTCAGTGGGTTATGAGGGTGAGTGAGTAGGTGGGTGAGTGGCTGTGTGAGTTGGTGGGTGGATGGGTGGGTGAGTGGCTGTGTCCACGGGCACCTGTATCGGAGTGAGCCGGTATGTGTCCACTGGTGGGTGAGTGGGTGTGTGGGTCAGTGGGTATGAGGGTGAGTGAGTAGGTGGGTGAGTGGCTGTGTGAGTTGGTGGGTGGATGGGTGGGTGAGGGCTGTGTCCACGGGCACCTGTATCTGAGTGAGCTGGTATGTGTCCACTGGCACCGCTGCCAGCTTGGAGAGAGCAGCTCGCTTTCGCCCTGCGCATTGATCGCCAGCAGCCCCGTCAGATGCGACAGGGTCCACGCTTGGTCCACGTTCACCTGCCTCAGCTTATTTTCACTCACCTGGAGCAGCAGCAGCAGCAGCAGCAACAGCAGCAGCAGGAACAGCACCAGCAGCCAAGCGCGGATGGATTTGATTTGTTTCAGCAGCGAGGGGCCCATGACGGTAAAGACGTTATACGCATGTAGTGAGCGACTTCCGAGACACATCGTGTAGAGGCCTTCTTATTTATTCTCACACTGGACGATGCAGAAATATCAACGTCTCCACGTAGCTACACATAGCCTACCCTTCTACACAACCCCATCGTCGGCGTCCAACTGCACGGTTATTTGACTAGCGCAGCGACAGGACGGTGAGCGCCCTGCAGGAGATCGGCCACGACGAAGAGGATGACGGCGAGCGGCGACGCAGCCAGGACCCAAGACCCGCAACAGCAGCGAACCTTCTCTGGTTCGGTCCCCCTTATACAGTGATACCTCGGTTCACGAACCTTAATTCGTGAAATGACTCTGGTCGTGAACCGAATGGTCGTGAACGAGGCACATTTTCACATAGGGTTCAATGTAAATTCGGTTAATCCGTTTCTGACCTTTTTTTTTTTTGGTTTTTGAAGCACAAAAATATGAAACAAATGACAATAACATTACGTAGTACTGTACAGTTATAGTAATGTATAAAGAGAGAACACTAACCTTGCTGAGAGACCTATGGCATGGAGGAGGCAGGTGGGAGGCGGGTGGGAGGCGGGTATTGTTGGAGGGAGAGTCCCCCTCCATAAGGACATCAGGGGGATCTCCTTCAGGGGTTTCCTCTCTCCATCGCTCGGGGTTTTTTTATTTTTAGGTGAAGAGGGATGACTGTCACAGCTGGCGCATGTGTGCCTCTCGCTCATTCCGGGGTGCGCGCGCGTGCATGCCGCTTGTGCGCGTGCGTGCGTCGCGCGCGCGTTGTGTTGCGCGCGCGTTGCGTGCGTCCGCGCGCTTGTGCGTGCGCGCGCGCGTGTAGCCTGCGCGTGAAGGGCAGAATAGGCGGTGCGCACCACGTGTCGCGAGCCCCCGAGGAGGAGGAGGCGGGGTTACTCCCTCGGCTGATTTTGCATTGCTCGCTCCCGTTACATAACATCACGACCATGTGACAGACTGGAATTAGCATAAAAATGGGCGCGGCTCCTGTTCGTGAACCGAAGCGGAGTTCGTGAACCGAAGCATATTTTTATGAAATTTTCTGGTCGTGAACCGAGTTGTTCGTGAACCGAAGCGTTCGTGACCGAGGTATCACTGTATACACCCCGGTGTGGCCACGCCCCCTTCCAGAATCTTCAAGCAGGTTCCCGGAGCTTGAGGTCTCATATTCTTAGGTTTTTTCGGTTAAAGTCACGTAGGTTAAAAAATTAAAATTAATAAAAGTAAAATTAAATAAATAAAAATCACGACGTTTTGGATGGCAACACAAGCTTCCGTCTTCAGGTGGACCGTCACCAGCCACGACAGCTGTATCAGTGAGAGAATTCCAAGAACACAGTATTTGTTATATACTGTTGAAGGTGGGAGGAGCCAAGGTAGGCCTGGATATTGTTTTGTGAGGTTCGGTGCGGCTGAAGCACGCTGTTAGGAATGAGCCTTTGTTGTGTAAACTAGGTGCGGATGATGTTAAAGGTGCGTGTAAAATGGGACTGAGCCTTTTTGTTATGTAGAGATGATGCGGCTTGAGGTCTCGCTCAGACTTTGACATTCACCACCGATACGGCCCCCCTTATAATTAGTCAGTACATAACTTGCACATAGAACTAACACGGCCCATAGACTCAGACAGAGACCCAAAGACTCAACATCCCCCGTATAGCCTCGACGGACTGTTGGGGCAAGTGCCGTTAGCGAGCACCTCTATGCAGGCCAGAAGGGCGGCACACGAGGGGGTGGGTGGCCAGCACCACGCTCACCACACAGAGACCCACAGTTTGTTGTCCTTGTCCGATCGGCCGCGTCGGGCTCCGTCGAACGTGCGGCGCTCTGCGAGCGGCTTCTCCTCACCTCGGACAGGAAGACAGAGAACTTGCACGCGTTAGCAGGGGTCGTACTTGTCCACCAGGTGCAGGAGGAAGGCAAAGTCGTTGCGCACGTCCGGAATGTCCTCCACCCACGTCTCCTGGCGCGCCTCGCGAAGCTGTACTCCTTGAGCCTGCCGTGTAAGCGCCCCCCCCACCCACCCCCCCCCCCCCCCCCAGCACAGAGAACTCAGCGCTACCGCCCGTCGGACCCTCGTCCCAACGCGGAAGATCTCCCACGAAGCCACCGGTTTAAAACGTTACGATACACGTAGCGGTGTCGCCGGCCCGCGCTAACCGCATCTCCACGATCGCCGAAAAAGCCCGCAGACCAAAGCCAGAAGGCTGCCGCACGGCGATCCGGTGCCACGCACCGCTCCGCGGCAGCCCGCCGCCCATCCCCCCATCTCACCTGCCGGTCACCACCCAGTAGAAGATGTGGGCACAGTGTGAGCGCGTAGACGCACATCGTGGTGGCGTAGGCCATCCACATACACGACCATCCGACGGCGTCCGCCGGCCCTCGTTCTGCTCCGGGGGGGGCCGGTCGGGGGGCGTGGCGCCTCGCCGGGTCGACGAATCGGACGGAGGGCCGCGGCGGGTGCCGGCGGCGGCGGAAGACTCCGAAGGCAGCTTTCTCCACGGCGGGGAGTTCGTCGGATCTCGGGTCGCTGCGCGCGTGGGATTGCGTGGACATTTGGCGACGCGTCATGACGCACAGACGCACAGAGGACCCATAGAGACCCACAGGACACGCACAGAGACCCACAGAGACCCATCGAGACTCACAGAGACTCACAGAGAATGTAGAGACCCACATAGACCCATAGAGACCCATAGAGACACACAGAGACCCATAGAGATCACAGAGACTCACAGAGAACCGTAGAGACCCGTAGACACTACAGAGACCCCCAAAGATACATAGAGTCTCACAGAAACCCTTAGAGACTCACAGAAAACCCATAGAGACTCACAGAGACCTGCAGAGACCCATTGACATTCTGAGACCCACAGACCCACAGAGATCCACGAAGACCCACCAGAGACCCATAGTGACTCATAGAGACCCGCAGAGACCCATCAGGACTCACAGAGACCCGTAGAGACCCATAGAGACCCACAGACCCGCAGAGACCACAGAGGACCCAGAGGACCCATACAGACTCAGACACCCACATCGTTGACGCACATACACCCGCACACCAAGATCCCCCGTATAGCCTTAACAGACTATAGGGGCACAAGTGCTGGAAACGGTACACGAGGGGGTGGGTGGCCAGTACCACGCCTGGCCGCCTTGTCTCCCCAGTGGCGATGTTTACACACCGCACCAGGTACTCATTTGAGGCTGAGAAGACCTAGAGGAGGCCCAGAACTGGTACAGGTAGAAAACAGGTTCCACCACTGCCCACCAGGGATTGTTTGTCTGTCGTGCACGAATGCGCTGTCCAACCAAGTTACTACCTGCCCACTCCGAAGGAACGTGTTTCAGATAATCGTCGCTGGTGTTGGCCGTGAGCGAAATCGAACCTGGGTCGCCGGGTCATAGCGCAGCGTAGCGCTAAACGCTTCACCACGCTCCCCACACACCGCCAACCGTAAGCCAAACTGGTTATGAAAAGCACTAGAGGCTAGCAAGATGCGTGAACGGGCTCGCTGTCCCAAACACAGAGGTCGCAACCGGGTACCCGATACCCGTACCCCTACCCGCTACCCGGCTACCCGTACCCGGTCGGGTAGGGTAGCCGGGTAGCCGTTTTGCGACCCTGGTGCGGCGGGTACGGGTACGGGTTAGGCGTGAGTCCATATGGTAAACCGTTTGTCACTCATTTCGGGGTAGGGTACGGGTAGGGAACGGGGTACCCGTCCCCGCCGGGTACGGGTACCCATTTGCGACCCTGGTGCGGCCGGGTACGGGTACGGGTAAGAATCAAACCCGTTTGCAACCTCTACCCCAAACCCACGCAGGGTCTCCCCCAAAGGGGGAACTTTTTTAGTTTTGTTACTTAAGGGTGCAAGGGATGACTAAGGCAGGAAGGAGGCGTGGGCCGTCTCTTCGTAGTCAGCCCCCTTCTAACCTGCAGCTCCCCACTGTGGCGGGCGGCGCTGGCGGCTTGCAGCGCCGCCGCTGACGCCAACCCGTCCAGTGCGGCTTCGTGCACGGCGTGCGTGGTCCACTGCGAGTCCATGCACTTACCCAGCACGCACACAAAGTGCTCGATCTTGGAGCTCGTCTCCGGGAACCTGAACCAGAAGTTCCTGGTGGCCGTCAGGATGAGTGTGTGCAGCACCACGAGATGCGGAAGTACTTGCTGATCCACAGCACCGCGTTGTCGTAGCAGAACTAGTTGATCAACCCGGTACTGGTACTGGTCGAAGCCAACCTGGGCGAGTGTGGGAAGGGCAAAATGAACTGGCGTGGCGGGTGATGTCGCATGCCCCTCCCTTGCGGTGACAGAGCTGGGCTCAAATGTGCTTTGGCCTGATGATGCCGGTTGTAGTTACTGGCGGAACAGCACCGTACTCAAGATCGTCAACGTTGTGGCTCTGCTCTTCAACACACCGGTGTGCTGTACTAGGATATTACATTACACTACACTATACACTACAATATAATGTACATTACAATATCACTACACTATACATTACACTATAATGTACATTACCATATACACTACACTATACACTACACTATACATTACACTATAATGTACATTACAATATACACTACCACTATACACTACACTCTACATTACACTATAATGTACATTACAATATACATACACTATACACTACACTATACATTACACTATAATGTACATTACACTCTACAATACACTATACACTACACTATACATTACACTATACATTACACTATACACTACACCTCTAACATTACACTATAATGTACATTACAATATATACACTATACACTACACTATACATTACACTATAATGTACATTACACTATACACTACACTATACACTACACTATACATTACACTATACACTACACTATACATTACACTATAATGTACATTACAATATACACTACACTATACACTACACTATAAATTACACTACACTATACATTACACTACACTACACTATACACTACACTATACACTACACTATACACTACACTACACTATACATTACACTATTCCTCGGGCAATTGCCGGTGGTGCCGAGCCGGCCCGAGGGGGAACCTCACCGTGTGAGCCCTGGGGTTGGCCACGAGCGTCCTCAGGACGGTCTCGTTCCACTCCTTCAGATCCACGTCGAAGCCTCTCGGCACCGGCACGCACAGAATGCGCTCGTTCATGTTCTGGGCGGAGGTGGGGCAAGTGGGTACCACGTGACCATGACGTGACGCCGTGTGGTCTCCTTAACTCAGGTTCACTTTGCGAGATTCCCGGTGTACGGGGGGAGATAACCCATATAGACCCAAGATGTGCTCTCTAGCCAGCGCTATGAGTGAGCTCGCACGTCGAGTTGGAAGCCACGACCCCCTCTGTACCAGGCGAGATAGTTAACATCTCCCGGCCACCGTGATGATGAGACACACGCGAAGTCCAAATATGCAGAAGGGGTAGGGATGGAACCCACATAGACCCAAGATGTGCTCTCTAGCCAGCGCTATGAGTGAGCTCGCACGTCGAGTTGGAACCCACGACCTCCTGCGTACCAGGCGAGGTAGTTAACATCTCCCGGCCACCGTGATGATGAGACACACGCGACGTACAAATATGCAGAAGGGGTCGGGATGGAACCCACATAGACCCAAGATGTGCTCTCTAGCCAGCGCTATGAGTGAGCTCGCACGTTGGAACCCCACGACCTCCTGCGTACCAGGCAAGGTAGTTAACATTCTCCCGGCCACCGTGATGATGAGACACACGCGAAGTCCAAATATGCAGAAGGGGTAGGGATGGAACCTATGACCTCCTGCGTACCAGGCGAGGTCGTCAAATCTCAGCGATGTTATCCATAGCAAGGTGGCGACATTGATGAATGTGCGTGGGGACTGGTGCGTTGGAACAAAGCACCTGCAGCATCCCGGCAAAGATGCCGATCATGAACATGGGCACAGAGAGCATGTCGCACAAACACGTCCCACCAGGGCTGAAGGATCTTGAGGTCCGGGTGACCCTCCAATGAGAAGGAGGAGGTCAGGGCTCCGACGGGAATCATGACCCGAGCCGAGACTGCACACAAGCAGACACACACACGGACACACACGCAGACACACACACACAGACACACACACACAAGCAGACACACACCACGCAGAGACACACACAGAGGCGCACACACATGCAGACACACACACACAGACACACACAAGCATACACACACAAGCAGACATACAAGCAGACACACACATAGGCGCACACACACACACACAAGCAGACACACACAGGCAGACACACTCACACAGACACACACACAAGCAGACACACACAGGCAGACACACTCACCACGAACAAACACCAAGCAGACCACACACAGGCAGACACACACACGCAGAAACACACAGGCAGACACACAACAAGACACACACACAAGCAGACACCCCCCAGGCAGACACACACACACAAGCAGCTACACCACAGGCAGACCACTACACACAGACACACTCACGCAGACCACACCACAAGCAGACACACCACAGGCAGACACACACACAAGCAGAGGCGCCACATACAAGCAGACCACACACACAAGCAGACCACACACAGGCAGACACCACACAGAAACACAGGCAGACAACACACAAAGAGGCGCACACACAGACACACCACAGAGACACCCACACACAAGCAGACACACACAACACAAGCAGACACACACAGGCAGACACACACACAGACACACACACAAGCAGACACACACAGGCAGACACACACAAGCAGACACACAGGCAGACACACACACAGAGACACACAAGCAGACACACACACGCAGACACACTCACACAGACACACACAGGCAAGCAGACACACACAGGCAGACACACACAGGCAGACACACACAGGCAGACACACACACACAGACACACACAAGCAGACACACACACGCAGACACACACACACAGCAGACACACACACACACACACACAGACACACACACGCAAGCAGACACACACGCAGACACACACAAGCAGACACACACACACAGGCAGACACACAGGCAGACACACACACAGACACACACAAGCAGACACACACACAGACACACACAGCAGACACACACAGGCACACACAGGCAGACACACAGGTAGACACACACACAGGCAGACACACACACAGGCAGACACACACACAAGCAGACGCACACACACACACACACACAGGCAGACACACACAAGCAGACACACACACGCAGACACACTTACACAGACACACACACAAGCAGACACACACAGGCAGACACACACAAGCAGACACAACACACACAGGCACACACACAACACACACAGGCAGACACACAAGCAGACACACACACAGGCAGACACACACACAGCAGACACACACACAAGCATAATCAACGATTTTTGGGTTTAGATCGCGTTTATTTATAAATGTGTCGTAACCCTCCACCACCCGACACGGCCAATCAGTAAAAAATGTATCACGTTGACAAAGACAAATAGTTCACTGCTTTAGCCCACCGGTGTGTTGAAGCAACAACATTCACAATTTGAGTACGACGTTTCGCTGGTAATTACAACCAGCATCATCGGGCAATTCGCCAGAATGGTGAGGCTCTCCTGTGTCTCCCGTTCTTATATAGAGCAGCAGCAGGATGACGTCAACATTAACTCATTAACTCATCAGGTGCAAAGATTCAAGGGGGGAGTGATTGTAATTATATACTAGATTAGTAATCAGGCTATTGTTCCGATGCGAGTTGTAGATTAGTAATCATTTGGAATGTGTTTTATTGTGATTATGCTACATTAGTAATCAGTTAGTGGTTGTTTCCCTTATAAGTAATTGTAATGTATCTTATTTAATAATACGCTTCCAGGCCGCACTAAGCCTGTAGCTGTCTGAGCGATTAAAGTTATTTCTGTTTCTCTCAATTTCAATCGATTCTCTAATTAGTCTTTGCCAGTAGTAACTAGTTTTACACAACACTTCCACGTTGTCAAAATCAATTGAGTGTCCCTGTTGGCATGCATGTTCTGCTACTGCCGACAGTTGTGTTTGTGATAGTTTAATATTTCTCTGGTGTTCTTTTAGTCTTACACTAACGTTACGCCCTGTCTGTCCAATATAGCATCTGCCACATACACAATTAATCCGATATACACCTTCTGTTGATAATTTAGGTAATTCGTCTTTAGTGCACGTTACTAGTTGTTGAATTTTGTGTACTGTACCAAATCTTACTGTAATGTTTTGCTTTTGCAAAACACGGGCTAATTTATCAGTTACTCCTGAGATAAATATTTTTATTGTTTTAATAATCTGATCGCTTTCAGCAGTGTTGCTTTGCGATCGTGATTTGGCTTTTAGTGCTCTGTTAATTTGAGCATTATTGTAGCCATTCTGTCTTAGTGCTTATTTAACATGTTTAATCTCTCTCATTACAGTAAGATTTGGTACAGTACACAAAATTCAACAACTAGTAACGTGCACTAAAGACGAATTACCTAAATTATCAACAGAAGGTGTATATCGGATTAATTGTGTATGTGGCAGATGCTATATTGGACAGACAGGGCGTAACGTTAGTGTAAGACTAAAAGAACACCAGAGAAATATTAAACTATCACAAACACAACTGTCGGCAGTAGCAGAACATGCATGCCAACAGGGACACTCAATTGATTTTGACAACGTGGAAGTGTTGTGTAAAACTAGTTACTACTGGCAAAGACTAATTAGAGAATCGATTGAAATTGAGAGAAACAGAAATAACTTTAATCGCTCAGACAGCTACAGGCTTAGTGCGGCCTGGAAGCGTATTATTAAATAAGATACATTACAATTACTTATAAGGGAAACAACCACTAACTGATTACTAATGTAGCATAATCACAATAAAACACATTCCAAATGATTACTAATCTACAACTCGCATCGGAACAATAGCCTGATTACTAATCTAGTATATAATTACAATCACTCCCCCCTTGAATCTTTGCACCTGATGAGTTAATGAGTTAATGTTGACGTCATCCTGCTGCTGCTCTATATAAGAACGGGAGACACAGGAGAGCCTCACCATTCTGGCGAATTGCCCGATGATGCTGGTTGTAATTACCAGCGAAACGTCGTACTCAAATTGTGAATGTTGTTGCTTCAACACACCGGTGGGCTAAAGCAGTGAACTATTTGTCTTTGTCAACGTGACACATTTTTTACTGATTGGCCATGTCGGGTGGTGGAGGGTTACGACACATTTATAAATAAACGCGATCTAAACCCAAAAATCGTTGATTATGAGAAACAGCTTGGCGGATAGTGCGATCAGAGTATCCGTTCATCCTGAGGGCCCGATGTACATGTCTTAATTCACCGGCCAGGTGGTGTTGGTCAGAAATGCCATGGGCTCTGTGGTATAGCGTTTTGATGAGAGAATTCTTTTGAGATGGGTGGTGGTGGGAATCCGGTTTCAAGTAGGAATCTGTGTGGGTGGCTTTCCTGTAGACAGAATGTCCCAAGGATCCGTCAGGCCTCCTCTCAAACAGAATATCCAAGAATGGTAGTTTACCGTCTTTCTCCACTTCCATGGTGAATCTGATGGATGGGTGTCTAGAATTGATGTGGTCCAAGAAGTGGTTCAATGCTGGGAGGCCATGTGGCCAGATGACGAAAGTGTCGTCCACATACCTCTTCCACAAGGAAGGACGCAGGGTGGATGTCTGGATGGCGTCTGATTCAAACTTTTCCATGAACATGTTGGCTATAACTGGTGACAAGGGGGAGCCCATAGGGGTACCCTCATTCTGTTTGTAGAAGGTGCTATTCCAGGTAAAATAAGTGTTGGTGAGGCAATGCCTAACCAGCGCAGGTAATAATCTTTAGAAACACACTGATTGCAGTAAAAAAAATTCACAAGAATGAAAGTCACTGTCATGAAAAACAACAAATTATAAATTGCAATTTAAGGCATTGCTACATACCAAGGCTTTGCTCTGCTGTATTAAATTGCACCGCAGAATTGTGAGGATCATATTCTTTCCAAGCTCCTCTTTCCCAGGTAGGTCTCTCTCCACCAAGACTCGCACAGGTTTATGACCGTGTTTCTTAGGTTAGGGTGAGCATCGGTGAAAAGTGGCAACAGGGCTGTCAACAGGGTGAGAAAAACGGTAGAGTAGATTGGAACTAATTATCACCACAGGAACATATATATCTTGTATTGTTGCCTGATGTAACCACCTGGAAGGCATTTTTATACAGGGTGACAAAAAAGTCTGGACAAATAGGGTTATTTCATTTATTTTAGCACTGGCATTAAAACATTTAAACAGTTTATTCTTTAAGTTAATATTTATCTATTATCATTATTCATATATATTTGTATTCTTCCTGTGGGTTCACCACAATCCCGTTGTTTACAAAATTCGACCAAGAACCCTGAATGAATTTAGACAAAACGTAATTTAGGAATGGTCAAAGATTACACGTGAATCTAAAAAAAGTCCAAAAATAACTTCTACAGAGAATTCATGTGTACATTCATGTTAATGGAAGTCAGTTTGAAAATTGTTAAAATAAGATAACCCATTCAGTCTTGACCTATGGGCCACTCTGTATATTCAGCATAACAATAATTTGTAGGCTCAATTATTAAATAAACTATTGCCAATATTTTGGTAATCTACCCTATACAGTACTTGAAATCAATATATCATCCAGTGCGCATGCATAACATTTCCCAGTGCAACATCAAGAAGTATTTTATTTTGCAGATATTTATGAGATGAACATACTGCAATATTGTTCATTGGGATATGCAGCTCTAAACAGTGAACTGTTATAAATTATCCAAGTCAGAGAAATGTGGCAAATAACTACTTTATGTATCTTGAATGAGATTTTCAGCAGATACTTATTAACTTTTTGTTCTCGTTCTCCTACTATACATACTCACGAACTTTTACTCTTTCCAATTATAAAAAAACTGAGAAGTCGTGGAAACAGATATAGTCAATAATTTATCAATTTGTATCAATTATTCATAGACGTCACCCTGCCTCTTTACCATGTAGAATGATAGCCGACTCCAAAATGTCTTCTATCACCTCCGCACTGACAGTTTTCACAGCCACAGATAGCACTGTGGCTACAGCCGTCACAACAGCTACAGTTGACTCCTGGATGCAAACACATAATGATGGGAGCAGGTGTCACATTTTAACCACACAACTCCTAACATCAACAATCAAATAACAAGTGCCATCCATTGTCAGAGTTAATATATCACAGTATTTTTAGTGAACGTGTATAAAACCAGTTGAAATTTTTTTCATGTCTTTGCATGCTTACCACAATCATTCATACTCTTTAAAACGTGTTTTTATCTACAGTACTCAGAATATATGACAAGCAACTATAATTTAATTAAATGTTTTGGGTATATTAATACAGGTAAATCAGACGAATACAGAATTTTTAATTGTCTGGTAGCTCATGGGCTGATGCAGTAAAATTGACAAAACAATGAGCCAGCAAAGCTGAGATTCTTGGTTCAGGTCCAAGATAAAATAAGGCTTGCAAGTATAAGAAGCCTTAATGATCTCAGCCAGACCACCAATGGGTGTAATTTTCTGTTTACAATCATACTGAGATATTTGGTTGATAGGCATTCGATGAATCACGTTAAAATGTACCATGAAAGAGTAAAAGGACAGAATTTAGATGTATAGTACCGATCCCGTGGCTTCTGTCTCCATGTCGTCGTGTTGCGGTGGGTCAGGGTTCCATTGCTCAGCGGGGCAACGCAGCAGGCTCTCAGTGAGTATCTTGC